CATTAGAGGGTACAATAGCATAAGGTATTAGTCTTAAATATGTATCATTGTGAATTTAAAAAACAAGTTGTTCTGACCGATTTGTTTTGACCAAATCTTAATATTTACAAATATAGTTCTCTGATAAGATATTTTTTTTTATCTTCGAGTTGGTCATATTTAAATTAAGAGGGATATGAAAAATAACATCTTAAAGAGTTTAGCAACTTTGATATATTGAAAATTACTAATTAATCACTTTTGCCATTTAATCACATAAATTCTATAAAATCTTAATCAAATTTTACCAACAAACAAACTGAATTAAAAATGAAAGAATTGCAATCAATTAATATTCAGCACAATTGCCAATAGGAACAACAATTTGGAATGATATATTTATCAAGCGGTTTTTTATATGACTGTCACAATACATTTTCCTCTATTCAAAATTTACTTTCATTCCAGTTAAATATGAGCCGTGCCATGACAAAACCAATATAATGGGTTTGCGACCAGCATGGATCCAGACCAGCCTGCGCATCCGCGCAGTCTGATCATGCTGTTCGCTTACCAACCCTATTACAAGTAGAAAAACTGATAGCTAACAGCATGGATCCTGATCAGACTGCGCGGATGCTGGTCGCAAACCCATTATGTTGGTTTTGTCATGGCACGGCTCATATGTTCTAGCACATATATAAATTTCTTAAAGTCAAACATTCTTGAAACGGGAGATTACTCAAGAATCAAAATTAATGGAAAAATTACAGACTCCCAAGTCGTTCATTTCACATTTCAAAGACATGGCTTTAAAGTGTTCATCGCCTCATCGAGTTATCGAACAAAAACAGAGATTTGCATGTTATATGGCTGTTACCTAGTCAGGCTGAGCATATGAGCTGCTTGACTCAAGGTTAAAGCTAGCGTCTGAGTCATCTTTTATGACTGTATTTATAGCATTCTGAGATTTGTTTCAAAATTATGCTATTTTCTGTTGTATGCAAGTGACTTAAAGAATAATCACTTTCTCATTTCCTATGCACATTGCTTGCAATATTATAGCCTTTTTAGAGAGAACGTATTTAATTTATTTTCATACGAAGACTTATTTCGTCATCTTGTTCGAGTGATGGAATTTCGATATTATCTAGATGCTTTTTGAATTGCTTTTGCTTTACTTCCAGCATCAATTATTTAGTTAACATCTTATTTCGTCACGTGATTAAGCGCCATGCTATTGATCTGAGTCTATTAAGCGATTGGATTTAAAGTTGCAGGTGATTTGGTACTTCCGCCATTGCTTTTTGGTGCAGATCACTGCTGTATGCCGCGTTCCGTTAGACGATCGATTGGATTTGAATTTCATACTGTATAATATCCGAATCAATAAGCCAAGTGAAGAATGTTTTAGAATTGCATACGCTTTGTATGTAATTGGATTGTGTTTCACTGAGTGCATGCCATGTTATTGGTATTATTCATGTATAAACCCAGTCTTGATGGTTCTAATAGAAATTACACTTCTGCTGTAATGAAATAAATGAAATGTGTACATTATATTTTAATTATATTTTCCGCCCACTCGTTCTGTACTAATGTATTTGAGTTTTGTATGTGCATGTCAATGCAAAAATTGGTTTTATTTCGTACACCTTTTCTCTAAACTACTGCTTTCTTTCTTTTGGGGATTTCAAAGTATTCATATTTCATATAAATTCATATTTCATATAATATCTAACAATTTCAAATGTAGTTTTTTTACAGTCATTTAAAAATAGTTTTACAAGTGTCAACGAATGTATTCTATGATGTATAAAGCTATAACTCTGCCACATGCAGTTAACAAAATTTATGTTTGAATTATGAAAAAAGAAAACCCAAACAGCTACTTGCAAATGAAAGAGATATGTTGGTATAGTTCTTTAAGAGCAAATGGCGCTTTGTTTAACTGTTAAGAATCATACTTTATATAGCAGCATTATATTTTGTTCCAAACCATTAGTATTCTGTTTGAGTACAGTATTTTATTTGTGTTAATAACCGGAATATGCATATAATATATAGATAAGATTATGGAAACTATATAGTTTAATTGTTTGAAAATTTTGAAAACAATATTTCCCCCAGATATAGCTTTATACCCATAAAGCCGGTGCTAGAGGGCATTGTCCTTCTTAAATTTACAAGTTCAACTCATAATCAAACAGAGTATGCAGATGTGTCAATAACGTCCGGTGGTCACACAATTCAACAAATCTCATAATGATAAAAATAACGAAGTGCATCTAATTTTGTATATTTGTTTGTTTGTTTCATTTTACGCCTTTTCCCAACAGTATTTCAGTCATATAGTCGGGTAGTTTCCTAACCATCGTTCCTAGAGAGTTACACCAGTACTAGACTACCTTCCTGCGCATAATTGTGTCCAATTCTTACAATGGTATAAACGGACCGCAATGGAAATAAGGGTTTACCCTTTTTTGTGTTATCCCTGGTGTTGGTGTGCATGTCATTGTTTTTGTGATCTGTTTGTGTTGTGTTATATCTCACTCCATATGTAATATTACCATGTATGTACATTATGGCAAAATAAATATTATCTTACATAAGACATTGTCGAAGTTTTTATTTTCTTTCCTTATACGACAATGTGACTCTTTCAAAGTCAATTGAGCATGGTACGCAACCAAACGTTGTATTCGTTTATTCCATTTTCTACATACTGCACAGTAAAAACGAAAGGAAAAGGTATATTCATAAAAATAGTAGACATATCAACTACATGTAATAATTCATAGAATTTTTGCCACACCTACATTTTGACTTATAAAAGGGGTATTCTCAAAGTTAGCATATCATCTAATACAAAATAAACAAACAAAAATAAACACACCAAAAAAAAAATGGACTCGTTAAACTGCATTTATATGGTGTATACAAATGGGATAATTTCCACAAACACGATATCTATTCTAATTTACCATGATATCTATTGTAATTACACTATTATATCAATACTTAATATAATCAGCATATCTTATACCATCATTTCAACTTTCCCATTTTCTCTAACCATCTTTTTGCATCATCATCATTTCATGTAAATTTATTAACCCCCCCCCCCCACAAAAAAAATAAATAAATTAATAAATAAAATAAAATAAAATAAAAATAATAAACAAGAAAATAAAACAATAGAAAATAACAGTGTCTTTGTAAATACCTCCTTTGTATATTGATATAATGTGAATTTACAAATGCATATAAAGAAAAAGTGATCAATACACTCTTAGTTCCAGAATATCTAAAAAAGTCGAGTCAATTATCTGCTGATTTGAACTCTAAGTACTTACAATCAATGCAGTACATTCAAAGTCAAGGCTCCTTATTCATTGGTTGATATATATAGTGTTTTAGTTGGTAGCAATCTGACATTTGTTTCAAATATATCTTATACGGTTTGATTTAAAAATCATTATCATTCCTTGAATATGAAATATATCTTATACGGTTTTCTTTCAAGAATAATTTATGATTCCTTGAATATGAATTATATCTTACAAGGTTTTATTTAAAAACTCCATTATTATTCCTTGAATATGAAATATATCTTATACGGTTTTATTTCAGTATCATTCCTTGAGTATGAGAAATATCTTATACGGTTTTATTTTAAAGATCAATATCATTCATTAAAAAATAAAATATATTTTATACGGTTATTTCAAGAATAATTATAATTCATTGAATATGAAATATATCGTGACCTCATATTTACATGTATTGTGTATTGAGTGAATAATAAAATCTTGAATCTTGAAATCTTGTACGGTTTTGTTTAAAAATCGATAATTATTAATCCTTGAATATGAAATATATATCTTAAACGGTGGCATCCATAAATTGAATTGATATTCCTCCTTAAAACATGAACATATTCCGAAAATAATCGTAAGATATCGTAGAAGGTTGTATTCGCAAAATCAATGGACTTCCTTGAAACATATATCTTGTAATGTATTAAAAGTGGCGTCTGATAAACTAGATTACATACTAAATGATTAATATCAGTGCTAAATGTCGATTTAAATACACCATGGAGATGATGACTTTTATTATGCCAACAACTACAGAAAATAATGAAATATATCAATATATTCAATAAATGTTTTATGCTTGCAAAATTATAATTATATAAGTTTCATAAAAAGTACAGAGACCTACTGCAAATGTCTTACCATTTGATTTTTTCATTATTTATTTAACTGGCAAACAATATCATTAATTAATCTTTTCTAAAATTCAGTACCATTAAAATTCAGCAAAGCTTTGGACTTTTTTGTAAAATGCATTTAATATTCAGGTAAAAATTATTGACACTAGTTACTCTTTTTATATTAAGTGAAGTTTGTAATAAACTATTAAGCAATAAATAAATATAAACAGAAAATCAACAAAAGACCAAGTAGAAATGTTGAATGACTAAGAATAACTTCATTGCTGTGGGCGGGTTCGAATCTATTTTTAGGAGAAGAAGCAATCGAAGATTGTAAGGTTAACTAGGCGCCGGATTGTGCCTGAAATAAAACATGGACGGACAACTAAGGTCTCTTTACGAACAAGGTTGAAAAGTCACAATATGACCTTTACTATTTTTGTGTGACTTAATATACGGCGCAAAACTACGAAAGACCGGTGGGGACATTTCAACTTTATGAATTCACAATACCATCTTCGTGAATTCAAGATTTTAATTTCATGAATCGTGAATTCGTGAAGTTAAAATCGTGAAATCACGAAGTTGAAATCGTGAAGTTGAAATCGTGAATTCATGAAGTTGAAACGGGCATTCGTGAAGTTTAAATCGTGAATTCATGAAGATAAAATCGAGAATTCCTTTTGTGTTGAAAACAGGATTCACGAAGTTAAAATTGTGAATTCACGAAGATGAAATCGGGTATTCATGGAGTTGAAATAACCCCACCGGTCTTTCGTTCAAAACAATGCGAGTCACTTACCAGGTTTCAAACTGTACCTACGAGGATTTGGCCAACTTTCTGTCTACGCCTCACAACAGCATGTAAACATCGTGCACGCCAGCATCTGAAAATATACGAAATTTATATGATACGAAATTTACATGAAATATTTCACTTATAAGGTTAAAATTAAACACATGATTCAAATTTTAAGAATCTGACATATCTAAAACATGTAAGACAAATTTGTATGAATAAAACATGTAATACAAATTTGTATGAATTAAACATGTACACCAATTTTTGTATGACTTGACATCGCTAATTTATATAATATATAACCATTACGTATTTTCTTACATCATCTACATTGAAAACAGCGATTTTATCGTTTTTAGCGTTTTCTGAGTTTATAATATCATGTACCATGTATAATATCATATTAATAGTAAGCACTGACCTTATTTAATTTAACAAAACAATATTAAATTATAATTATGATTTAAAAAGATTTCATAATTTAAAAAAGATAGGAGCAGAAACGATTATTCTGCTCATATTAACTTATAAGCCATTTCGCGCTCATTTAAAACGCTACATATTTTGTATTCTTCATTTCATACATTTAAAAAAAAAATATTTATTACAAAGACTGTGTGTGGGTCCAGATACAGAACAACAAAAACATTTATACCAGGACACTGAATTCAAATATTCAAAAGCCAGTAGTAGTTAACATTTAGTTTACATATAGTTAACATATATATTGGAATTAACGATACTGTGTTACGAATACGCGGGATAGAATTCAATGACAATGCCGGGGAAGTGATGTAGGACCGTGTTGTATCTAAGATCAATAGTAAAACCGACACCGAATAACTAATTAATTATTTAAGTGAACACGCTTCTGCTGAAGGTTATTTCTTAATAGCCGTGTATACTTGTTGATTATATTGGAATAAACAAACACAATGTTGTATCGAAATCTCATTTCATCAAGCACTAAATGAGACCGAGGGGGAAAAAACGTTTTGTACTATGAAATATATGTTAGTTATTTTCCTTTTTATACTAATTGAAAGAAGTTAATATTCTTAAAGATTAATATATTCCATATTTATATAAAACTATTTCAAAAGATTCTGTACACTAATGCTATATCAATATATAAAGGATATTGAATGAGTGTAGGCTCAATACTGAATTTATTAAACGAGTTGAATAAAATTATATTATGTGAGCCTCTCGCGAGCATCATATTATTTTATTCAACGAGTTCAATAAATTCGGTAATGAACCTACACGAATACATTATTCTATTTATCTTAAACCCAAAATAAAGACTGTTTAAATTGAAATAAAAATCATTTTTCATTGACGTGCCTATAGTGTAACTCTAACATTTAGCGCGTTTTTTCACCATGTCTTTAATGCAAATGACGTCATGTCAAGCTTATATGCACGGCTATGCAATGCCGTTTTTACGGAGTCGTCGGCACGTGTATGTGATAAAAATATTACAATTCATAGTAATTAAGCAAAACGATAATGTCGTACGGAACGATCTTCTTATAACATCTCCGATTGAATATACGGGGCGACTTTTCACGGCCTCCACACGACAAAACCGAGCTATACAGGTAATATGTTTCACTTAAATAATGTCTTTGAAATCAGAAATTAGCCAACTATACTTCCTCCAAAAGTACTAAAGTACATAGTTATAAAATACTTCGATTTCTCATAAAAGTCTATTAAGCACGTGTCATACAGGTGGCAATGCACGTGTAATTTATTACATCTGTTACCAGATGCTTACAATTACGATAATCATAACTTTGACATGTTCCCTTGTTTTACACATTATGAGGGGAAGGTGAAAGCAATTCGGATACTTAATTCATTCGTTATTCCTAATATTTATTTAATTAGACAATGGCTGTAAGCTACATAAAAAAGCAACAATAATTTCTATAAAACATCTGCGCTGTTTTGACAGTGTCTTGTTTATAAATAGACGTATAAATTAATAAACGATAGCTTAATCCCTCTATTAAGTCTATTTGTACAATATTTGTAGACAGAAACTAACTAAATAAAGCTAATTAATCCAAAACCTGCATAATTTCAATAATAAACATAGTAATACAATCAGATTAATTCAACAGTGTTATTTCAAACTCAAAAAGCCTCATTTATGTATTAAGATTTTACTTCATTTTGAATAGAATGTTAATGTATCCGAAATAGAGATACAATACCAAAAACATAAATTATGACCAAGAAAAAAATAAATCATGAAAGTTTCAAATTTGCAAAATAGTTATAATTTCATTAACGTGGATGATCATTGACCAAAGCAGTAAATATGCATCACACATACACGATTAAAATTCTACAACAATTTCAAGATCATATAATTGGACGTGTACACGTACAAGAATAGTATATATGAACTTTTACAATATTACATTGCGATAAAACATAATATTTTGTTAACATCATTGGGTGCATGTAAACATCATCTCAATTCAAAAGATGCAGTAAAATGTTTCTTTGAAGATGCACATACTCTGTAATAACCCAGTAATCCTGCTTAATACTGTGTGTATTTCTTTCTTCGAATTAAAAACACAAACAAACAAATCAAAAATCTAAAAAATTTGAAATAAAGGAAAATGACGTATTTGTTGTTATTGTAGTTCAACTCCCGCCATAAATGTAAATTAGAAATAAGAGGTCGATTCCATGTTAATTAATTGGATGTATATTTCAAATAATGATATAATATGTAACGATGCTTTCAACGAAACTAACGAAAAAACAACGGAATTAGTTTGCATATGTTTAACTGCCGATATACAATTATATTTATAAATTGTCTGTATAAAATATTCATTTATCTATCCTTGGGGTAAAAGATATTTTATAAGCGCATTTTGTTGTACAAAATAAATGGCTATGTTCGCACTTACGTGAACATGTAATTCATTTAATGTTTTATCCTAGGAGACTTTGACTGGTTAAACTACATCTTCTTATCAACGAATTTTACATGTACTTCAATGAAACACCGGCACCACAAAGCTTAGTGGTAACAGAATTTTGAATTATTTGAAAAACAAATGTATATATAATATAAATACACCTTTGACAAATGTCATAATGGTAAACTATATATTGTAGTAAATTATTTATAAAAAACGTAAAAAACAACTACAAAAAACTGTTAATTAATGTTTCATTGATTAAAATTTATTAAAACAAGACTAACTAAGAAAGTGCTATTTTTAAATTTTAAGCATCATTCTCTTGCACGTTCGTGAGCATATGACGTAATTGCACGCGGAGCGATTACACATATGTATGCAACTATTTCATACAAATGATTAACTGGTAAACGCGACTTACTTTATCGATTTTGTAGGTTTTGATAACGTTATAAATAAAAGTCACGGAATATTTCATGAGCCGAGTCGCCAATATCGTTAGCAATTGTTCCTTCGGGACACAAGATGAAAATACTCAACATATTCATACAAAATGTCAATTATTCTATTGCAATTGAGAATGAGTCCAAGGGAGCCACGTGGTCATGAGAAAAAGGTCAAAGCAATTATGTCGTTAAACAACAAGCGTATTGATGTATGTATGATTTCCAATCGATTCCTTCTTCAACATGATTCACTCTATTTGTGTGGTATTGTGCAAATGTTTGTTATTTTACTGAACGCTTTAACTCCCAACATGTTCAATTTCTTAAAGGACAGTCCATTATCAATTTTTGGGATATCAAGGTTGAAAACTTAGTTAAGTTAGCAAACAGTAAAGACAAGAACCTGATCAGACAGAACGAATGAGGCGGCAAAGGTTCCTGCTAACAGCAAGATAAAGGGTAAAAAAATATCGGGGATGTTCAGATACAAAATATTCTATCAGTCGTAATTTAAACATTTACAAAAAATACATAGTCGTGTTTTGACATTTCGGTAGCGGATTTCAAAGTACATAAACAGTGACATAATCGACAATTAAAAAGATACACAGATAAACATGAAACAAAGCTATCCATACACAAATGTTATGTGCCCTTTGTCTGATTATGTTGAACCATTTCCAAAGTAATAAATAACGAGTAATAAGAATTGAGTTATTGCAATGCAACATTATTATGTTATTACATGTATTACATATATAGCGGCCTACAACGGCTTTATTCTTTATATCTCATATGATTTATAAACATACATGTACATGAACTAAAAACCTAAAAAAAGAAATGACAAAAAAGGAAATATTGCAATAGCTGAATTCTGGTTCAAATTGTTCCTACGTAATAGAACATTTCATTTAAACAGCAAAGAACATTCATATGAAATTACAAAATGTATTATCAATTTTGACGACTGCTCAATAAATAAACTCATATCATTTATATCACATCTATCATGTGGTTTACCGGAAGGAACAAATATGTTTATGTAAAAGCGTTATTTATCAGGATAAATATGTTTGTAAAGGTTTGAAAGTATTACGTAGATCTGACGTCATCGGTCGATCCATACGTTGATTATAATTTTGTTACGTAAGGAATTACTAATAAGTCAATATTGGTGAGCAATTATTTGTAACCAATAACAAGTGTAAATTAGCCCTGAGTTGACATTTAAATACATGTTGAATTGTTAACCTTTTAGCAATACTTCTACGAAGTGATCTACGTCCTCCAATTCAGACAAGTCAACTTCTGGTCATATTATATACAAGAATAGATAAAACTAACGCAGAAGATAATACTTGAGCTGACATTTCTCTCAAGTTACAACAGTTTCTTCAGAAATGATTCTGATTGCTTGCTTGGAGTAGGTTTTCAGAAAAAAAAAATGTTTATGTTTTAAAGTGAGTTGGTCTACAATGGAATGTCTATAATACAATAAACAATTACTAGGACGTTGGTAGTATCAAGTATCGGACATAACAACAGAAGAATTGGATATAGATGTTGTTGGAAAGAGTGAGATACATGATCTGATATAACATAATATTTATATAGCAGATGATAAAATGTTCTAGAACAAAATTTATCATGTAAATGTTCATTCCAAATCACTTAGAACTTTA